GAGAGAGAGAGAGAGAGAGAGAGAGAGAGAGAGAGAGAGAGAGAGAAGAGAGAGAGAGAGACTCGTCGTCATCCTCCACATTCCCAACATCAGAGCCAGTATTTTGGTTTGTTGCTCTGTCTCTAGAGCACATTCGCGCGCGCGATAGATAGATAGATAGATAGATAGATGAGAGAGAAAGAGAGAGAGAGAAAGAGAGAGAGAGAGAGAGAGAGAGAGAGAGAGAGAGAGAGAGAGAGAGAGAGAGAGAGAGAGAGAGGTTCGTCATCCTCCACATTCTCAACGTCAGAGCCAGTGTTCTGTTTTGTTGCTCTGTCTCGTCAAGAAATGCAAGAGGTGATTTCCCGGCTTATATTGCTGTGAAGTAGCAGCACACACAAAAAACGAAAACGAAAAACATGGTGTGAACTCTGTGAACTTTGAAGTTAAAACCTGAAAGGCTGGAAGGGTGGAACTGTGAATGTGAAAGGTGTGGCCTTATTCCAGGCGATGGGACTGGGTGACTCGAAAACTGCAGCCTCCCTGTTGGCAGGCGGCTGGTGATGGGCAGGACTGACCTATCCTTCTCGTTTCCTGTCGTTTCTTTCCTTTTCTATTTTATTTTAAACGATTTCTAATTTTCTATTCTTCTGGTTGTATATGGACTTGAACTCAGGTCTTTTCTGCAACAGGTCTTGGGTGTACCAACTGTGGACTACCGGTAGGCACATTTGTCGTTTCAGTCTGTCTTTCTAAACATTTTGCTTGCCGCGATGGCGAGCAACCGCACTGGCTCCGCCCAGAATAGATGCGGCAAGTGTGTTTGGTGTCCAAACAAACACAAAAAAGAAAAAAAGAAAAAAAGAAAAAAAGAAAAAAAGAAAAAAAGAAAAAAAAAGAAAAAAAGAAAAAAGAAAAATGATAATCATCAGGTGGTGAGGACTGAGGATAAAATTCTCCCCTTGGCCTTCCTGGCAGTTTGTCGGTTTTTTTTTGTTTTTTTTTTTTAATGTGCCCTGACCTTTCTCCCTAACAGTCACTATTGGTGTACTTTTTTTCGTTTTTCTTATCTGTTTTGTATTGCGGACGTGTCTGTGATGACCATCATTGTCTGCTTCATCTGCTGATTTGTGATCAGGCTTCAACCTTGGGTTGATGGCGATAAGCAGAAGTTTATTGAGGAGGCACAAGCTGAAATGGCAGGTCTACTCATTGAGCCATTTGGTATAGAAATACTTCAGTGTGTTGGGTGAGTGGCACCACCTCCCTTTTTTCAAGGCTGTGCCTGCTGTGTTTTATTTTTATTTTATGCGAGCACTGAGTAGTACTTGTTTCTCTCCTCCACTCTTCTGTTTCTCTCTTCTTTGTGCCAAACCAAAGTTAGCAAAAACCAAACGAAAAAGAACCGAACCCCACCCCACCCAACCCAACCCATCCCAACCCAACCCAACCCAACCCACCCCGACCCGAACTAACCCAACCCCACCCAACCCCACCCAACCCCACCCAACCCAACCCCAAACCAAACCAAACCAAACCAAACCAAACCAAACCAGACCAAAGTTAAGAAACACCAAACAAAACAAAACCAAACCTTACCAGACTGCAAAGCCTAAACCAAATAAAATAAAATTTAATAAGTTCAAACAAACTAGAACTCTAGAGTCTTCAAACAAACTAGAACTCTAGAGTCTAGACTCGAGAGCAGAAATCCGAAAACAAAAGGAGTGACGGTTGACGAGGTGTGTAGCGTTTGTTCACTGGGTGAGCTGCCTGTGTTTTTGGCATTGCTGTGCCCTTTTCTGATTTGGCTTTCTGTCAGTTTTGTGTCTATTTGTCAGGCAGCTCACCCAGTGAACAAAAAAACGCTACACACCTCCTCAACCGTCACTCTCTTTTTGTTTTCGGATTTCTGGTTTCCTTTGTTCTGAAAAAGAGAAAAAGCACCGAAACGGACAGAAAGCCAAATCAGAAAGCTTTTTCTCTTTTTCTATGCAGCGGCTCGTCTTTTGATTCTTCCGCATGTTCACCAACCGGAGGAAAGCTTGTTAGGACTCCACCGTACTGGCAAATGATAAGGCCGGCCAGGTTCAATGGACTTCTCACAGGAATCCCGGCGGTAAACCACTGGGATCACAGCAATCCTGCAGCGCCTTGTCGTATTTGCAGGTGTTGACGACTACCTAAAATGGAAAATTTGCCAGTTCATCAAGGAAGAGTATGAGAACCTGGTATCTCTAAAACGATATTCCTCCTAGATGATAACGAATGAAAACTACTCGCCTGATTTGGCTGCTGTTGGGGGTGTGGGAAGAGAGAGAGAG